AACACCATTGGTCAAGGAAGGTCGTGGGTGGCACACGCCTGTCATCCAGAGCTTTGGACGCAAGGGTTGGTGGATCACGTCGAGATTTGTGAACCTCCCGAGCCCACCACGTGCCTGTGGAGTGGCCAAGGGGCGCACGGCGCCCCTCCATGCGCACGGATGAGTGTGATGCAGCAAATTCATGGAACGGTTATTTTACTGTGACTTGTATGTGCGTTGAAATTCTTTCGCACCATACGTAGCCAACTGTGCTGAACGGAGGTCTTCTTAATATATATACTGCATAGATGATAAGATATAGTGCACAGGTGATGAGATATAGTGCACAGGTGATGAGATATAGAGCACAGGTGATGAGATATAGAGCACAGTTGATGTGATACAGTGCACAGGTGATGAGATATAGTGCACAGGTGATGAGATACAGTGCACAGGTGATGTTATACAGTGCACAGGTGATGAGATATAGTGCACAGGTGATGTGATATAGTGCACAGGTGATGAGATACAGTGCACAGGTGATGTGATACAGTGCACAGGTGATGAGATATAGTGCACAGGTGATGAGATATAGAGCACAGGTGATGAGATATAGAGCACAGTTGATGTGATACAGTGCACAGGTGATGAGATATAGTGCACAGGTGATGAGATACAGTGCACAGGTGATGTTATACAGTGCACAGGTGATGAGATATAGTGCACAGGTGATGTGATATAGTGCACAGGTGATGAGATACAGTGCACAGGTGATGTGATACAGTGCACAGGTGATGAGATATAGTGCACAGGTGATGTGATACAGTGCACAGGTGATGTGATACAGTGCACAGGTGATGAGATATAGTGCACAGGTGTTGTGATACAGTGCACAGGTGATGTGATACAGTGCACAGGTGATGTGATACAGTGCACAGGTGATGAGATATAGTGCACACGTGATGTGATACAGTGCACAGGTGATGAGATATAGTGCACAGGTGATAAGATACAGTGCACAGGTGATGAGATATAGTGCACAGGTGATGAGATATAGTGCACAGGTGATGAGATATAGTGCACAGGTGATAAGATACAGTGCAGAGGTGATGAGATATAGTGCACAGGTGATGAGATACAGTGCACAGGTGATAAGATACAGTGCACAGGTGATGAGATATAGTGCACAGGTGATAAGATACAGTGCACAGGTGATGAGATATAGTGCACAGGTGATGTGATATAGTGCACAGGTGATGAGATACAGTGCACAGGTGATGTGATTCAGTGCACAGGTGATGAGATATAGTGCACAGGTGATGTGATACAGTGCACAGGTGATGAGATACAGTGCACAGGTGATGTGATACAGTGCACAGGTGATGAGATACAGTGTACAGGTGATGAGATATAGTGCACAGGTGATGTGATATAGTGCACAGGTGATGTGATACAGTGCACAGGTGATGTGATACAGTGCACAGGTGATGAGATATAGTGCACAGGTGATGTGATACAGTGCACAGGTGATGTGATACAGTGCACAGGTGATGAGATACAGTGCACAGGTGATGAGATATAGTGCACAGGTGATGTGATATAGTGCACAGGTGATGAGATATAGTGCACAGGTGATGTGATATAGTGCACAGGTGATGAGATATAGTGCACAGGTGATGTGATATAGTGCTCAGGTGATGAGATACAGTGCACAGGTGATGAGATATAGTGCACAGGTGATGTGATATAGTGCTCAGGTGATGAGATACAGTGCACAGGTGATGAGATATAGTGCTCAGGTGATGAGATACAGTGCACAGGTGATGAGATATAGTGCACAGGTGATGTGATATAGTGCACAGGTGATGAGATATAGTGCACAGGTGATGAGATATAGTGCACAGGTGATGAGATATAGTGCACAGGTGATGAGATATAGTGCACAGGTGATGTGATATAGTGCACAGGTGATGAGATATAGTGCACAGGTGATGAGATATAGTGCACAGGTGATGTGATATAGTGCACAGGTGATGAGATATAGTGCACAGGTGATGAGATATAGTGCACAGGTGATGTGATACAGTGCACAGGTGATGAGATATAGTGCACAGGTGATGAGATATAGTGCACAGGTGATGAGATATAGTGCACAGGTGATGTGATATAGTGCACAGGTGATGAGATATAGTGCACAGGTGATGTGATATAGTGCACAGGTGATGAGATATAGTGCACAGGTGATGAGATATAGTGCACAGGTGATGAGATATAGTGCACAGGTGATGAGATATAGTGCACAGGTGATGTGATATAGTGCACAGGTGATGTGATACAGTGCACAGGTGATGAGATATAGTGCACAGGTGATGAGATTTAGTGCACAGGTGATGAGATTTAGTGCACAGGTGATGAGATACAGTGCACGGGTGTTGAGATTTAGTGCACAGGTGATGCCCCTGATGTGAGCGAAGTGCAGTGAGTGTGCCTGTAGTGAGTGTGTAGTGAGTGTGTGCATGTAGTGGGGGTGTGAGTGTAGTGTGGCTGTGGTAGCAGGTCATATAAACAGACGACGATTTGGTAAGAAATGTCCTCAAATTGTCGTGAGTGCACGGATGATGCTGGACATGCCGACTGGCCATGAGAAGCAGGAGGTGGCATGGGGGGCATCCCTTACTCGTGGCTCGAATATCGTTTTAAAACGTTGAGTATTGGTTGACTTGCTGGCGCAAATCGTCTCCGATAACGCGGTGGTAGTTGCGTTCTTGAAAAATCGCGTTATAATAAATAATGTATAATATAGGCTAAAGCAAAGTCCGCAATAACACGTAAGATGCGTATGCAGGATGAACAAAGACTGATGCGTTTGGATAGCATCTAGAAGCATCCAGCAGCGTCCCGCCTTGTGTGATGCTACGCCACGCCAGCCGTACGACTGCTTATTCCGACTTGCACGACGTAGTTCCGTTCACTCAATCCCGTTATATCCAGTTCGCATCCGCGTTATACAAACATTTTGCCTCATACATTAATCTAATTCGCGTTTGGAAAATACCACGCGGCATTATTGGAGACCAGACTGTATGTACACAATTGGGTGGGTGGGGAGGCTGCAGCAGCAGGATTCACGGGAAGTTCTTTTTTTCAAACACAACACAGAATGTCCTCATGCCGAGCGTACGGTGTACGTGTGTGGTCATCGTAGTGCCATTGGCAGCCCTGAACCTGTGGTGGAAAAAGCCACGTTCCGATGGCAGGGTGCAGACTATCCATGGGACAACTACTGTTGACACTCCACAAAGTGGCACGCGGTTTGAAGCCCCTGGAAGGGTGGATGATGACGATGATGACGATGATGAATATGATGATGATGACGACGATGAATATGATGATGACGACGATGATGAATATGATGACGATGATGAATATAATAAAGATGACGATGATGAATTTGATGATGATGATGACGATGATGATGGGCTTAGTCAGCCCCACGATTTGAAGCTGCAACCTTCCAAGCGCTGTGCCACAGAGCCACCCAGCCGGAATAATAATAATAACAATACACGGACCCGTTTGTGTATCGCGAAGCGCGGTTAGCAGTCTCTATTCATTTGCATCCCGCGTTTGGTGATGATTGTGGCGGTGCTAGGCGTAAGCAAACTCAGCAAAGGGTTGTGGTCCCAAGCAGCCTCAGGTGACCCAGACTCATGAGGAAATATGGGCGCATCAAAGATCAGCTCAAGTCAATATTTTAATCCTTGTCATGTCTCTCTAATCTACATCTCTCCTACCACATCCAACTGAGTAGTTGTCTTTTGGCTACACCTTTTGTATTTCACAAAATCTCTCCCATCTCATCTCCCTACTCTTGCGTACAGCTCTCCCACGTCTCCTGCTCGCTTCTGCGCTGGCTGCACCGCGTGGCTCGGAGCAGCCATGGGTGCCCGCACTCCTTTGCCTGGCTGTTCACAGTCCCAACCGAGCCCCAATACAGTTGTGTGGATTTCTCAAAGGGGCATTGCACACTCTAGCAGGCCGGGCTTCCGTTGAAGCCGCAAGTCAACTTTCTCTCAGTGCGAGGGGTCGCGTATTTGCCTCTGTTGCCCTCTCATAGCCTGGAACTCCATTCCCCCAGACATCCATGCTGGTGACTCCCTGCCCCTGTTGAAACCCATGCTCTAAACCTTTTTTTACTCTGTCCATGACTGACCGCGTGTCTGTTTAATGTGGCTCTGCGCACTGCGTCTGAGCAGCGGCATGAGGTGTCATTGCATTTCGACATCACTGTTTTGTTTTTCGGACTTGAAGACCGAAATCAAAACGACGAAATAAAGAGGTGGACGAGAGCAGGGTGGAGTGCTTTTGGAAAACCGAACTCCACATTTAAAATTAGAACAGCGATGTGGCCTAAAGGAGAGAGAGTTTTCAATCAGTGCTTGGTGTTGCCTGCTTGTCACACACGGTTCAGAAACACCGTGGTCATGAACGAAAAATATTGAACAAAAAACTGAGAAGTGCACAGAGAAGTACGGAGAGGCGCATGCTGGGAATTACATTGAGAGAAGGAAAGAAGCAGCATCTGGATTAGAGAACACACGCAGGGTAGAGGCAGCGTCCAAACCATGAAGAAAAGTGAGTGGGCCTAGGCACAGGGCACGTCGTCACTAGAAGGGACGTGGCCGATGTTCAAGAATAATGACGGAGAAGCAGCCAAGGAATTGAACGCGTGCGAGAGGACTTACACCGCGGAGATGGAACGACGAAAACAGTTTGTGTGCAGGTGCTGGGTGGAGTGTTGCAGCGCAGAAGCGCGTGAGATGGCCATGGCTTGGGCAAGCGTTCATATTGCAGTGGATTGACCATGGCTAATGATGATGATGTTGAATTGATTGTAAAAGCTGCCAAGGCTAGGCGGCAATCCTGGGAGTCTGACCATCTTGGCCTCCTAGTTGTCAGCCCTCGCACTAAGTGCTTCTCACTTGTGTTGTGTTCCTCCCGCTCTCCGTGTCTTCGTGCAGGGTTTGACGCTGGAGCTGCCTCGTCGCCTCCTCCTCCTTCTCGCCAGGACCGAGCCGATCCTCGCCCCCAAGCGACCCAGACTCGGACTCCAATCTGGAACCAAATGCTCGTCTTCTGCCTCCAGTGCCACCAAGCCAATCCATTAACCACACCTATCCACCGCTCATCTTGTTCTACACACGGCCTCATCGTCGTTATCATCATCATCGTCGTCAGCCACGATCTACTGCTGGATGCAGACCTCACCCAAGCCGTCACCATCCCTAAAGCTCACGATGCCGCAATTGCTCCGCGCTCCTGCGCAGCAGCTGAACTCGTGACTCTATCTCCACGGCGGCCATCCTCTCGGCCTGCTTTGTTTTGGCCGCGCTGGCTCCCCGACGCGTCGCCAAGCGAACTGCCGCCGCCGGTCCGCGCCGCAGCTGCGTAGGAGCCGCGGTGCCACGTGCGGTGTTTGTGTGCGTGTCGGGCGGACACATGGCCTGTGCTGCGTGTTTCACTGTTGCCGCTGCCACTGTCGGCACTAAAGCGCCGCAGCCGGTACGTTCGGTTGTCGAAATTTACGTCACTCTTATTTTTATGTTGTTCCCTTTTTTTATTTACGTGAAGGTTTCATTTCGCTTGTTGGTGTGGAAATCAGATCCCAGTCTATATCCCTGCTGACCCTGCACAATAATCCCTGAGCCAGATGCTCCACCGGTATCTGACTCCACGTTCTCTCTCGTCGCCGAGCCTCGAACACCCACGCGCTGCGATCCCCGACGCCAACGCCAAACCCCGCACGCCTCCTCACCCCTTCGCCACCACGAACCATTGCGGAACCTCTTCCTCGTTTCATCCAGTTGAGGCAGGTGGCTTAGCAGCAGAGCAGGTGGCTCGCAATTGGAACGTCGCAAATTCAAATCCTGGTTGGTGGCCGCCTCGGCCCATCGTTTATTTATAGGGCAAGCAACTGTGGTCGTCCTATGGATAGACTCGCCCCCACCATTGGACTATGGAGTTGTGACGATAGGGCTGTAATTTGTAATTAGGGCCGAACACCACCTCAGTGCTCATTTGAGCAGGAAGTCATTTTTGACTTTATTTTGAGTTTATTTATTTAACCTGCAGGTGAGACATTGAAGAGACTAGAATTTGCAAGAGTAACCTGGGTCACCATCATGACAAAAGCAACCACGTGCATTCAAGTACAGCAATGAAGCAAATAGACGGGAATGCAAAATAAACCACATGACAGAAGAAACAAAATATTGCAGACAAAGTAATTGTAATTCATTCACAGTGCAACTAAGTTACAGAAACATTCAACAGTTGTATGCATGCAAAACAAAGATTGAGCTATGCACTTTTAAATGATCTAGATTGAAAACGAATTTATTTAAAACTGTTTTTTGTGTTTAGTTTGTTGTCTTTCCCCCGCACCTTTGATTAGCACGGTTGGCTACGTACGGTGCGAAAGAAGTTCGACATACATACATAGTCATACAGACTGTAGGGGAAAATGCAGTTGGTGAGCACCTAATAAGGCTGATACGGTGTGATGAGGTGGCGGTGTGGCCAACACCGCGAATGGTAGCTCCTATAGGAGGCACGCACAAGCAGAGTGGCCCTTCTTAACACGCTGCTGGATGAGGGGCCTCCCCACGCCGTTTGTGTCATGGGGATTAGTTGAACACTGGTCAGCGCTTGCCCATATGCCGCAGCAGGTACTTATTTATAGCCACCTGCCTCGGGCGGCGCGGTTGGTAACGCCGGTGCCTCGTCGTAATTTCTCGCTCGGATTTGAGTGTGGTAAATGGATCCCCCCCCTCCCCGCCAACTATTATTTTTACGTAGGCGTGAGCGAAGGACTGCGGCGTGCACTCGAGTTACATTGATTTTGTGTTTTGAGCCGAGTCGTAACACCGTGTCGATGCTCGCACCAACACTGACTTGCACTTCAATTTCCTCGTGGCCCAGAGATCAGGAATGAACATGCGTCAGGCACCAAGCGCGTCACCGTGTGGCGTGCGGCGCGCTTTCAAATCAATGGGTCCCGGAGCGCGCACACTTCTGTTGTAGTCGTTTAAGTTCAAGAGGTCATCGTGACGAATGTTTGTTGACGCCACCAGACGTCGCCGTCGCTGGCTCCGAGGTTGAGAGAAGCTCGGCGAGAGCGGCGAGTCTGTCCAGTCCACTGGATCCCAGAGCTGAGCAGGGTAGCTGCAGCGAGAAGGCCCCTGCGTTCACTTACCGACTCGGGCATCTTGCTGTTTAGAGTATTTGGCCTGCTATAAATTTCCACGTGATAAGCCACTTCGTCGAGTGATCATTTGTGGCCAGGTCGCTTCTGAAAAACATATATAGCTCAATGGGCCTGAGCTGGAAAAATTAAAAATATTTTTTAGTTGAATGTAGAGTTTGTACGATCTCCCCCTGTTCTGCATGTGTCCCTCCAGAATTCTCTGTTTCCTCCCATAGCGAGAAAAAAACATAAAATGTAACTGGTATTGGCCAAAACATCCCAATGTGGAAAACTTACCCGCAAATTAAACAATATATATTATACACAGCAGTACCACCCTTTACTACAAAAACCTGGCAGGACCCTCCTGAAAAGAGCCTTGAGACTCCGTGAGGCTTTCCTGGGAAAACGAGCGTGATAAAAAAAAGAAACAATAACCAGAATGCGAGATTGCGAGGTGATATCCGGCAGTGCTGCTGTTGCCACCACCACACTTTGCCAATGCTTTTGCCATATCCCATAGTTGTTGTAGCTGACCTCCAAAGACCGCTCTTACAGTCTCATCAGTGTTTAGTTGTCCTACCTCGACTGTCGTTACATACGAAGATCTAAGTCTTCGTGGCCACAATTATGCCCTCCCTTCTCTATGCTTGCAAAACGTGGACCCTTCTGAAGGAACATCTGCACTGGTCTGGATGTATATATGTTGAGCTGCTTTCGCACCGTACGTAGTCGACCGTGTTCTTTGGTGGTGCGGGGGAAGGAAAACAAACTAAACACAAGCAGTTGCGTTTGTTGTCCTTCCCCCACACGTTTGGCTACGCACGGTGCAAAAGAAGTTCAACATATATACAAAAAGACAAAGATCCCCCGTATAGCCTTAACAGACTGTTGGGGCAAGTGCTGTTAGCAAGCACCTATGAAGGCCGTAACGGTACACGAGGGGGTACGTGGCCAGCACCACGCCCGGCCACCTTTGTCTCCCTAGAGTCGTCCTAGGGGAGGCCCAGGACTGGTTCAGATCATTGTCACTGGTGTTGGCCGTGAGCGGGAATCAAACTCGTGCCACCGGGTTCGAAGCGCAGTGCACTAACCGCTACACTACCGCTCCCCACAACATATACACATCACCATCAACACCATCATGTGCTTGTGGGCCATCCCCGAGGTCGCCGGCATCTGAGTGCCACTCCAATGCCCGTCTCGGTGACTGCTCCTCCACCCAGCACACGTGTCCCGCCCATCATTACCTCCTCTCGATGGCACATACAGCACTTGTGTACCACGTTATAAACCGAACCTCCCAAGTAGGTTACCCTATCATGCAATACAGGGTGTTTGAAAAAGATGGACCCGATTTGAAATCGCTATATCTCTGCAACCACGAAACGCCCATGAATGAAACTCTTATCACTTGAAAGGGTGGGACATAGAGTTTCCAATGATTACCGCTAGATGCCTCTCCCAGCGCACAAACAGCCCCTAGCCTCAGTCATTCGCAAGATGGTGACCCCACAACACAAGGGGCGTTTTGCGTTCTGCAGTTCAGCAAGACTGAATCCGTAGTTGCGGTGCAGCGTGCGTTTCAACGGCGTTTTGGCATTGATCCGCCAATGTCAAAGAGCATTCGTCGTTGGTACCGACAATTTGAGGAAACAGGCTGTTTATGTAAGGGGAAGAGTACGGGGCGACCACGTACCTCAGGAAAACGTGAGAAAAGAGGCGTTTGGGACAAATTCAACTATCGTCTCGATGTTGTCCGTACAGCAGGTGGAGGGCACATAGAGCATTAATATAATGGTTAGTAAAACTTTATAACTCATTAAACCGTTTGTAATTTTTTGTGTAATTGTAACATGTTGCCATCCTGAAAGTTACTGCTTTGAAATTGGGTCCATCTATTTTAAACACCCTGTAGAATTCCGAGTGCAACTCTACTCAGGCGCTCATTTCCTCATGGCCTTATTAAGAGTCCAGCTCTGTGACCCGTACACGAAAGTGCCCATGCACTAACGCAGCGGCACGGCTATATATATATATAGAGGGAAGCGCGTGCGTTTGAAGCCGTTGCGGACCGCCGGTTAATCATCAAGGCCGTGCGTCGCCGTCTCCGGATTAAATGTGAGGCTGCGCTGTTGGCTACAGGACGCTTGAAGCGAGCGGGTCACTGGGAGCGGCCACGCGCCTCCCTGCGCTGGCGGAGGAGTCCCTGAAGACTTTGGTCCGGGCCATCTGGTTGCTCAGTGGCAGAGTGGGTGGCTCACAATCGGAAGATTTTTTAGTTAAAATCCCTGCTTGGGGGTTGACTCGGCCGATTCGTCCCTCCCGTTAGGGTCAGTACAACGAGTTCCACTTTGTAGGGAAGTCAACAGTGATTTCCAATGGATGTACTGGCCCCTGCCATGGGAAGGTGGAATTCATGCCACTGACACAGTGCTGTGAACAGGACATGAACACTGCCTCAATGCTTATTTGAGCAGGAAATCACTTTGATTTAACAATGAAACACACTTACTCTCCAAAATTGGATAAGGGGAAGAATGAATTGCTGAGATAGACAGCGGTTGTCGATAGATGTCCTGTCACTGCAGTTCTATGTCACTAAATCAAGAAGTCCGGCTGGCATAAACAAAATTTGGCAGTTCATTTCCCAGCTGAGGCTCGACCCAGTCTATCCAAGAAAAATTGTACAAATTGCTGGTCAGTCAACTGTGGCTCTCCTCTGGATACAATTGGTCCCTGTCAAAGGAATGTGAAAGTCAACAATGCTGCTGTCCCACAATTCTTCAGTGTGACATGACGGCGCGTCGTGTGCCATGACGGGGAGTCACCTGCCGGTGACGGTGCATCATATACCGTGATGGCCACCTCACTGTACAACTTAAACAATCTAATGGGGTCAATTGACTGATACTGCCCTTTGTCAATCCACTGCTTGATGAAGGTGTCCACACATCGTGTTGGTCACAGGAGCGGCTTGACCATACTTCACCATGCTGGACAATGCGGACTGGTGAAGTGGGGAGCCCAGGACCAGTTCAGATATCGCTCGCTTTTCTGTGACAGAATTCAACTCGGGTCCCCGGGTTCACAGCACAGCGTGCTCAAGTTATGAGACCGCTAACCCATTGCTCGTGTTAGAAGAAATACACTTCCACTCGTTGATCTTTGAGTGGAATCACTCCCGTGTTGTGTGTGAATGGGTAACACTGTAAGAGTGATGTGGTCAGCCTCGGTCTCCGTGCGGAGTTACACTCGGCGACCCTTCACCGACGTGCCACTGATCATTACCACTGGGATCGTGTTCCCTGCGCTCGCTACTGCTGAGTGTTTGTGCTGCATCGGTGTCGCTATTGGGATGTATGTTTCGATGTTTCATGAAATGTTAGGCCTTTGCGTTTTGCCACTGTTATCCTGAATAGTGACACAGTGGGTAATTGTAATTTTAATAGACTTTAATATTTAAACTACATGAATTCAATGAATATTTAATTCGTCCGGAACTCATCGAGACTCTTTGCACCTGAGTAAGGCTCGTCGGCTGAAACGACCGATTTTTTTTTCTTCCTCCGTATTTTAACCGATTAAATATTCAGGATAACAATAACAAGTATATTAAAAGCAGAAACGCGCGCCGTTTGAAATCGTGGTGTTTTACCATTGTACACAATCATCGGATTGTGTTCACTGCACGCGTGTGCGTACGTACGCCTGTGTGTAGTCTGTGTGTGCATGTAAGGATAAGTGGTGCAGTGGTTAGCACAGTGGTGTGCATCATCAGTGGCTGGTGCTTTCTAAACTTGTCCTGAGCCTCTCCTAGAATGACTGAGCCTAAATGAGTACCGACCAGAGCTCCCCCGAGTGAAGGCCCTTCTGCCAGCAGTGGCGTGAGTAAGCACTTGTAGGGCTGCACCTCTATCTTCCTGCAAATTAGTCTTTAGACTGGGCGAGGCTTCCTGGACACGTGGAGTAATTCTTATTTTATTTTATTTTTTATTATTGTGCTGATATGGAAAAAATTGCAATGCAATGATTTGCACGGATTCGCTCCTCCCTTTAATGTTCTGATTGTGCTTGAATTGAGCCTGCGTTCAGGGTTAGAGGTGAAATGTGTTCATGTGCGTGTACATATAAATACTGTGGTGCCGCTTCACTGAGCCACTGTGTTCGCTTGTGCGGCGCTTGGGGGGGAGTGAGACATTGGTGGTGGCCGTGTTGAGGATAGTGCTGATGATGGTTGATGGTGAGGATGACAGGGATGGTGAGTAATGGCGAGGATGATGGAGATTATGGTGAGAATGATGAAAATGATGATCATGTGGATGGTGAAAGTGATGGTGGCAGTGGGATGGCAGTGAGGGAGCTGAGATGGTTCTTGGGGTATATATGCAGTGAGTGATACAGTATGCTGGTGGTGAAGATTGTGGTGATGGTGATTATGACGTGAGGGATATTTAGTAGATACTGTTCTTGTGGTAGTGGTTGGTAGTCCTGAGGGTGATGGTGATTGTGGTGGTGAGGATTATAGTGGTGGTGAGTGAGGTTGTGTAATGCAGGCGCAGTGGTTGACTCATCATCCCCCTGTCAATGAAATCGGTACCACTTTGTGGAAAGACAACAGTGACTGCCCGATGGATATCACAAGCCCCGACAAGGCAATGTGGATTTGTCACAAGTTGTTTGATCAGGGAGACACTTACTAATTTTTGCCCAGTCAAGAGAAAATACGTTGTATATTTTAAAAAGACAAACTGATATTGCGGCTGCTCCTGCAGTAGTAACACAACACACCCAAGCTGCTAACTTCATTCTCACGGCACGTCGCTGAACACGCACGGAATCGCATCTTAATTGAACCAAAACGAGAATGATTTGCACGGTTGGTAATTAATACTTAATCACGCAAACACGAACAGCGACACCGGCGATAATGGGGGCTCTGGCTCTTCTGGCTGGGTGCGCCGCGAGCCGTGTTGGAGTGGCCGTCATTTGCTCTCGAGTCTTGGGGGCTGAGAGGCGACATGAGGCTCTCAACGCGCTCTGTACTCTTGGGAATTCGTGTCTCATCAGCGCCGCAAAGGAACTGCAGGGAAACGTGGGGGTCGCCGTGACGCGTACGGGCAGTCGACATACTCGACTGCGCGTCGCGCACCACTTTACAGCGACCACCGCTTGCGATGCCACAATCTGAGAGTTGAGGGCTCTTGGATCGAACAACACACAAGGATGTTCAATGCAGGCACATTTACAGATTTAAATTAGTGATGACTCCATGAGTGAATTCTTGGAGTCATTATTATTTGAACGTGTTGTCATCAGCAATTTTTATCTCGATTGTGCCACTAACGTCACACTGACAAAAAAATATTCATCCTATCCCTGGCCCTGCTTTCCTCTAATTCATATTCAGATGTCACAGTTTGGTTATGGCCTAGCTTAGCGAAAAACCCGTGAGAAAACCACTCGTACTGGGAGGGCCCCATGTGAGCGCGGATTGGATGTGCCAGTGAAAATGGGGTCTCGGTGGACGTGTTCCCACTGGATTTCCATATCACGAGAGGAGGTATCCTTTCAGCACTCTCGCTGGGGAGCGCAACCCGTCGTGTTTGAGAAATGGCTCACGGATCGAGGATATCACAGACCTCTGGTCCACACACAGCAGAGGGCAACACCTCTCACTCGTTCTGCATATGAGAGTGAGGTTTGTTGCACGACAGTCAAACGAATATACAGGCGTGTCTGGCTTAACGAGCGTTCTTTCCACTATAATTCACTATCACGAGCAATTTTAATTAAACCCATTTCTTTTAAAAACGAGAACATTTTTCGCTTGTTGAGCGGAGACTGATCAATAAACATGCGTACCGTGGCGGAAGGTGGCGGACGATGGCCCGCAGCTCTTTGTTTGCCAGCTGTGCTGCGTTCTTTGTGGTGAGGGGTGCCTCGTGGTGGCCCTGTAATGGGAGGGTGGCGGGAGGAGAGCGGTGGTGTAACGGATAGCGTGCGATGCTACAAACCCGGCGATCCGAGTTGGTTTCCCGCTCACGGCCAACACCAGTGATGATTATCTGAGCCGGTCCTGGGCCTCCCCTAGGTCGACTCAGCCTAAAATGAGTACCTGTATTTCGCTCGTTAAGCGAGACACGCCTGTATTAATTTTCGGAGCCAAATCATGGTCCCCTTTGACTCATAGCATAACAACAATACTAATGTAGATCATAATTTACAGCCCTTTGTCAATCCACTCCTAGATTAAGGCCTCCCCACGCCGTGTCGGTCATGGGGGTAGTTTGACCATACTTCACTACGCTGGTCCATTCGGGTGTTGAAGGGGAGGGGCCTCTTGGCTAGTTGTCTATTCAAAGCAGCAACGCACTTTGTTTAATTGGATTCCATTTATCTGTAAGCCATTAACTATCATTTAAAACTTTGTATTTTCAGCACAGCATAATCCAATTTAACACACTTGATTACGTTTGTGATTAGCTAAAATTCACACATAGGCTGATTTTGAATCCCAAATAACAGTCTTGTGTGTTTGTGCTGATGGCTCAAGGCGCAGGGTGTGGAGGGAGGGAACCTTCCAACATCTGGTAAAGCTAGCAGAATGTTCCCATAAAATAATGAGCACCCTTGACATATCTTTTCCACATCCAATCAGCCACATGGCTGGATCATGGGACTGCATAATTTCAGCAGCATCCAGTGCAACACAAGCAAATCTCTGGACCGGTTTCCGACTGACAGTGTCTCTCATCAGCAGTCAATGTCGAGATGTGAGTTCTTGTTAACGACCTGATGATGCTAGATGTATTCTCCAGTGAAACGTCGTTACGTGTAGGGGATTGTACAAGGGAAGGTTCTGGAAGGGCAAGTTGAGATGGTTGAAAACAGGTGGCCGTAAGGCACTGTCACACGTGTTATAATTATGTGGGGGACTCATTGTCGGATGGGGGCGGGGCCGAGCGAGTATATAAGGAGGAGCGAGGCTCGCGGTCGGCGCGCTTGCTTGGAGACTAAATTGACGACCAGAGGTGATGATATTGGGGCCGACTGTTAAAGATTCACCATAGTGGAAACCACCAGGGCTGAAGATAGCCAGAGCCATAATCAGTTTAGCAATCATTATGTTCAACCTGTATATACTTCGGAGAAGTAAAGCTCAACTCCCTTGAAAATGGATGTCTCCAAGGAGCTTTACACTGGTGGCAGCAGTGGGATCACGTCTATGATAGAGAAAGAAGACCTCCGAGGACCTCCTTTAGAGGAAGAACCATCGATCCGAAGTGCCCCGGGATCCAGCGAGAGCGGTTGACTGCATCGCAGTCTTTGACCCCCTTGGCCATGCAGGAACATACACGATGGTTGGATCCAGTGAAAGAGTTTACGGCAACTGGAGATTTGAAGCAGCCATCAAAGTCAGCCGATGGAGCGATGAAGAGTCCCTTCAAGCACTGCCCACGTTGCTGGATGACGGAACGTTGACGGCCTTCTACATGACGCCGCAGAATCAACGCACCACGCTACGACAGGCTTGTGAGGGGATGGCAGAGATTTTCTTCCCTATGTCTAGCGCAAGGCAGCGATTTTTAGCCCAGCGGGGAGGAGAGAATGAGTCGCTGATGGCCTACCATAGTGCCTTGTTGGCGCTCCCAATTTTGGCATTCCCGCTGATGGACGAGGTGGCCCGGGACGCGTTGGTGACGGAGGGACTGCGAAGCCTCATCGATCGGAGTGGCCTCGTATTACCAATTCTGCCGGAGAGCGACCAGACTTCAACGTGGTTCCCAAAATTTTTCAGGGCACACGAAAAAGCAAGAGCGCCATCTGAGATAGCGGCTTAGGTGTCAAGGGCGACGCAGAATGGAGGAGCCAGAGGACCAGCAGAGCCGACAGGAGTAGCGACAAGGGGGGCCGCCGCCGGACCCAGCACGGGGAGGCTGATCTTCAGGCGACCTTCGAGGAGATGGCAGCGGCCATCCGGGGATTCAACAACCCAAGGCGCGAACTACAACAGCAGCGATCATTGCAGACCCGCGGACGAACCAAGGACCGCGTGGAGATCCGCTGCTACCGCTGCGGGGGGCCGGGACATATCGAAAGAGGATGCCCAGGGCAGGTCGACCCGAGACAACCAAGCCAGCTCTGGGCAACATCGCGGGACTTCTAAAGAAAGAATCAGGCTAGTCGCAACACCCCGGACACCCGGCCAGACCACACTTAAGACATCATCATCAAACCGTTCATCACCATTATCACCGGCACATCACTCGTTTGCGGCGACCCAGGGCGACACAGCAGGGCAAATTTGGCTAACATCAAAGGCTAAATGGAAAAAAATTGCAATACGGATTGTAGCAGCAGCTGTGGGGACATCGGTTTTGGTGAGAGCGATCGGGGGAAAATCCCGTTCGGGTGTTGGTGGAGACGAGAGCATCAGTCACCATTATTTTTGCACTCGTGTTCGATATGTTACCTGCGAATTAGCGTCGCCTTGAACAGGTTTATAGTAAATTTGTTGTGGCAAACGGCAGTAGCCTAGGAATTGTCTATAAAGTAAAAACAGAAATCCGCATAGGGGAGATGTGTTTTTCAGGCCCCATATTGGTCTCTTCGTCCCTAGCAGTACCATATTTATTGGGAACTGATTAAGTCGGCTACCCATTAAGATATTAATATACTAGGGCTGTATTGAGACGCTGTCGGGAAGAGGGATTTGCGGCATGACACGGAGACCGAAAAGGCCGCCAGAGTACATGCCCTGGTGAGAAAGTCGATGACGATTCCGCCGCTAGCACAGGTGTTGGTTCCCTTGCGATATCAATCACGCCAATCATAGTGTCACCATTGGGACCAACGATCAGTCGACATTAACTCACGGCGGCGGACACCATTTTAAAACAGAACCATCGATTGTGTATGCAAGTGTTGAACACATCAGAGCAGGCGATTACACTGCGAGAAAGGACAGTAATTGCACATATTTCCCCATCAAAAGAAATTCAAGAAGATGAAGTAGTAGCAGGGATACAGGAAGTGAAGGGTGGGGTAGGGTCTCCCTGGGTGGAGGAAATCGTTCAGCGGAACCGTGAGTTGACTCAAGGTCAAAGATACTTGCTTAAAAGTCTTCTTCATGAATTCGATATTTTC